CGGCAGCGTCGCGGATCGCAGCCCCCCAGGGACGGCGAGGTCTCGCTCAGGTCCCCGCGGTGCGACAGTTCGGTGGACCCACCAGCAGCCTTCAAAAGTGGCGACGGTGGCGCAGATCGCAGCCCCCCATGGACGGCGAGGTCAAGCTCAGGTCCCCGCGGTGCTTCAGTCCACAGGACCCACCAGCAGCCATCGAAAGTGGCGACGGTGTCGCAGATCGCACCCCCCCGTGGGACGGCGAGGTCTCGCTCAGATCCCCGCGGTGCCTCAGTCCGCAGGACCCACCAGCAGCCCTCGAAAGTGGCGACAGTGTCGCAGATCGCAGCCCCCCAGAGCCTGCGAGGTCTCGTTCAGGTCCCCCTGGTGCCTCACTCCGCTGGGCCCAACACCAACTTTCAAACGTGGCGACAGCGTCGCAGATCGCAGCCCCCGTGGGACGTCGAGGTCTCGCTCAGGTCCCCGCGGTGCTTCGGTCCGCAGGACCCACCAGCAACCCTCGAAAGTGGCGACAGCATCGCAGATCGCAGACCCCGTGGGACGGCGATGCCTAGCTCAGATCCCCGCGGTGCCTTCGCCCGCAGGACCCACCAGTAGCCTTCGAAAGTGGCGACGGCGTCGCAGATCGCAGCCCTCCAGGGACGGCGAGGTCTCGCCCAGGTCCCCGCGGTCCCAACAGCAGCCTTCGAAAGCGGCGGCAGTCTCGCAGATCGCAGCCCCCCAGGGACGGCGAGGTCTCGCTCAGGTCCCCGCGGTGCCTCAGTCCGCAGGGCCCACCAGCAGCCCTCCAAAGTGGCGACAGTGTCGCAGATCGCAGCCCCCAGGGACGGCGTGGTCTAGCTCAGATCCCCGCGGTGCCTCAGTCCGCAGGACCCACCAGCAGCCCTCGAACCTGGCGGTAGTGTCGCAGATCGCAGTCTCCCAGGGACGGCGAGGTCTCGCTCGGGTCCCCGCGGCGCCTCAGTCCGCAGGACCCACCAGCAGCCCTCCAAAGTGGCGACAGTGTCGCAGATCGCAGCCCCCGTGGGACGGCGTGGCCTCGCTCAGGTCCCCGCGGTGCTTCAGTCCGCAGGACCCACCAGCAGCCCTCGAAAGTGGCGACAGTGTCGCAGATCGCAGACCCCCAGGGACGGCGAGGTCTCGCTGGGGTCCCCGCGGTGCCTCAGTCCGCAGGACCCACCAGCAGCCCTCGAAAGTGGCGACAGCGTCGCAAATCGCAGCCCCCCAGGGACGGCGAGGTCTAGCTCAGATCCCCGCGGTGCCTCAGTCCGCAGGACCCACCAGCAGCTCTCGAAAGTGGCGACAGTGTCGCAGATTGCAGCCCCCCAGGATGGCCAGGTTCGCGCAAGGCAAGAAGAGACAAGACGGAAGCGGGAGACGGGAGACGGGAGAAGAAGAAGGACGCGACCACAGTGCTATATTCAAAACGAATGCCCAACCAAGGAGGGTTGGGGAAAAAAACTCTCACAACATGTACTTCATTCCGAGCGCTTTCTCACACAATAGCCCAGGTTCAGAACCACGAAAGTACTATGAACAGATAGAGGTCGCCAGAGAACTCCCAGGGTCCAGTCCAGATTCTTGAACTTCTTGAGCGAGATCTGGACCCCATGAAAGTGGATCTGCTTGTTCTGAAGCTGCACGAGGGGTGTACGTCGGCACGGACGGTCGCAAGGGGTGGAGCTCCCTATGGGGCCACGAAACGCTGCCATGGGTTGCGGTGACGCATGCGGGCCCTGCCACTGGGGCCTTCGGTGGAGCTCCCTGTGGGGCCACGAACCGTGCGAGGGGTGTGCCTACATGGGTGGCGTTGACGCATAGGGGCCCTGCCACTAGAGCCTTCGGTGGAGCTCCTTGTGGGGCCACGAAATGCTGTCCTGGGTGGCGTCGACGCATGCGGACCCTGCCTCTGACGCCTTCGGTGGAGCTCCTTGTGGGGCCACGAAATGTTGTCCTGGGTGGCGTTGACGCATGCGGACCCTGCCACTGGAGCCTTCAGTGGAGCTCCCTGTGGGGCCACGAACTGCTGTCCTGGGTGGCGTTGTCGCATGCGTACCCTGCCTCTGACGCCTTCGGTGGAGCCCCCTGTGGGGCCACGCAACGCTGTCCTGGGTGGCGTTGACGCATGCGGACCCCACTGGAGCCAGCTGTGGGGCCACGAAATGTTGTCCTTCGCATGCGGACCCTGCCACTGGAGCCTTCAGTGGAGCTCCCTGTGGGGCCACGAACTGCTGTCCTGGGTGGCGTTGTCGCATGCGCACCCTGCCTCTGACGCCTTCGGTGGAGCCCCCTGTGGGGCCACGCAACGCTGTCCTGGGTGGCGTTGACGCATGCGGACCCGGCCACTGGAGCCTTCGGTGGAGCTCCCTGTGGGGCCACGAAATGTTGTCCTGGGTGGCGTTGACGCATGCGGACCCTGCCACTGGAGCCTTCAGTGGAGCTCCCTGTGGGGCCACGAACTGCTGTCCTGGGTGGCGTTGTCGCATGCGTACCCTGCCTCTGACGCCTTCGGTGGAGCCCCCTGTGGGGCCACGCAACGCTGTCCTGGGTGGCGTTGACGCATGCGGACCCGGCCACTGGAGCCTTCGGTGGAGCTCCCTGTGGGGCCACGAAATGTTGTCCTGGGTGGCGATGACGCATGCGGACCCTGCCACTGGAGCCTTCAGTGGAGCTCCCTGTGGGGCCACGAACTGCTGTCCTGGGTGGCGTTGTCGCATGCGTACCCTGCCTCTGACGCCTTCGGTGGAGCTCCCTGTGGGGCCACGCAACGCTGTCCTGGGTGGCGTTGACGCATGCGGACCCTGCCACTGGAGCCTTCGGTGGAGCTCCCTGTGGGGCCACGAAATGTTGTCCTGGGTGGCGATGACGCATGCGGGTCCTGGGGCGGAGCGCGGTTCGGGCCTGGCGAGGATCGGTTTGGGTGTCTACCGTTGGTTCGGATGCGACCAACTCCTGGGAGGCCACATTCTGGCTTTGCCCTGGTCCGAAATCCGGCTTCATCCCGCTTCCTCCGGCTTCATCCGGCTTCACCCGCTTCATCCGCGGCCCACTCCGGCGCACCACCCCCCCACCCCCAATGGGGCTTACTTCTCATGAGTCAAATCCGACGACGACCTCCCAGTAGTTGTCTCCTAACCCCTGGCGCCGGCCGGGGGAAGGCCGTGCGCAGCTCCCACCTCGCCCCCTGACCTTCCAGAGAGCTATTTTGTTAGCACTGGAGGCCTAAAAAAACCACAAAAACGAAACGAAACAGCCTACAACCAAGACATCGAATAGCTCTGGGATAGGTTTTTTGGTCGCGTGCTATTTTTTAGCCCTCCTGGAAGTTCAGGGCCCTTGGCCCCCCGAGGCATAGCGGCGGCCCGTGGCCCCGCCTCGCTGGCTCGAGGTGCCCGGCAGTTTTCGCGCCGTCTCCCCGCAGACGCCACCCCGCGCGCCGTTTCTGCGCCCCGCCGCTCGGGCCAGGCAAGAAGGTAGGCTCGTGCGGCGATGGCGCGCCGGCGACGCCAGCGAACTCGGATGCAGTTCCTGGGAGGTCGAATTCTGACTTTTGCCTGGTCCGAAATCCGGCTTAGTCCGGCTTGGTCCCGCATGATTCGGCTAAATCCCGCTGAATCTGGCTTGTCCCGCCTGATCCGGCTTTATCTCGCTTCATCTGCGGCCCAATCCAGCGTAACTGCCCCCCAATGGGGCGGCTTAATCCTCCTTGGTCCTTCCGACAAAGACCTCCCAGTAGTTGCCTCCTATAGCGAAGGCGTTCAGGGTTAAATTTCGCGACTCGGAAGCACGGCGGGGCACGGTGACGCCACTGGACCCAACGCAATTTGACCTTGAACGAACCAGGGGCCGCGATCGATTCAAGGCTGAGCGATCGACGCGGCGTCGAAGACCTTTGCGCGTGCCGATGCCTCACGAGCCTACCGTAGCTGGGGGATTTGGATGAGGAGCTGCTTGCCGCGCGCACGGGGGAGGTGCGCGAGGCGGGAGGCCTTCTGCGGAGGCGGGTGGCCTCGTAGAGGGCGGGGGGCCCTCGCTGGGAGCCCTCCCGGCTTCCAGGAAGGCTCCTTGGAAGCCCCGGGGCCCTTCTGCGAGGGCCCCGAGGCTTCTGAGCCCCCCTCCGCGCGCTGTCAGAAGCCCAGCCCCTGCCGCGGTACCCCCGCCGTGCGCGCGCGGCGCCGGGCTTCCTCCAGAGGGGCCCGTCGCTGGGGCGGTCGGGACGCAGTTCAGATCGGCCGCTCGAGTGGACCGCGACCTCCCCGTGACGATTGGCCGTCCGCCGGCCGCGAGCCTCTGAGCTCTCACCACGACGACTCCCCTGACCTTCCAGGAGGGCAAAAAAATAGCTCCCGGCTTAAAAACCTACCCCAAAGCTGTTCTACGTCTTGGCTTCAGGATGTCTCGTTCAGTCTTTGAGGTGTTCAGGTCTCCAGTGCTAAAACATAACTCTCTGCAAGGTCCCCTGACCTTCCAGAGAGCTATTTTTTAGGACTGGAGACCTAAAAACCTAAAAAGCTGAGCGAAACAGCCTAAATCCAAGACGTAGAATAGCTTTGGGATAGGTTTTTAAGTCGGGTGCTATTCTTTAGCCCTCCTGGAAGGTCAGGGTCAGGGTCTTCTCTTCCAGTGCCCATGGCAGCAGCCAGTCCGGCGGAGTGTCCGCGCAGGGGCGCTCTTTCTCGCACCCCCCGGCACGTCCACGCCGGGCGCTGGCGAGCCAGGCGCGGCCGAGCTCCGCCGGCCCTCGGGCCGCTGTGCTCGGCTTTTTTTTCTTGCGGGGTGGGAGCGCGCCCGAGGGGGCCAGGCCCAGAGGCGTCGTCGCTCGCCACCTACCCCGCGAAATCGTTCAACGGCTAGAGCGTTGGAGATTCTCGGGCAGGGCCCAGGCCAAGTCTCGCGAGGGGCCCCAGACTCCGCGCGCGCCCCCCGCCCTCGCCCGGAGCCCCGCGGCGCGTAATTAGGTGCAGCGCTCGACCTCGGCGGGGCACGGCTGCGCCCGGCGGCCTATGGAGCACCGGGCCTCGGTGCCCGGCGGCGGCTCCTCGGCCAAACGCCCCCCCGCCGCATCGATGGCCGCCCGCCGCCCCGTGCTGCTCGCCCTCGGCGTCGCCGCCGCCGGCCTGTGGCTGCTGAGCGGCGTGCTCGCGCCGGCCGCGGCGGAGCCGCAAGGGGGGGCCTCCTCCTCCTCCTCCTCCTCCTCCTCCTCCTCCTCCTCCTCCTCCTCCTCCTCCTCCTCCTCCTCCTCCTCCTCCAGCGGAGTCGACTGTCGTTGTCGCCCGGCATGCATAGTCCTGCATAGTCCTCCTCCTCCTCCTCCTCCTCCTCCTCCTCCTCCTCCTCCTCCTCCTCCTCCTCCCAGGGGTCGGCTGCACGTAGGGGTCGGCTGCACGCAGGGGCGGCCCTTCGGAGGAGTGGCCTGTGGCTCGCGGTCTTCCGGGGGGGCGCGTGGGGGCCAGCACCCAAGCACACAGGCCGCTGCTGTCGCACCGTGCGCAACGAGCGGCACGCCGCTCACCAAGGATCGTTCTTGGCCAGGTAGGGCCGTAGCTGCGCGTAGCCGATGGGAGACGAGGGAGCAGCGATGCAATAGGTCACTCGCAGCGGGCGGGGAGACAGCCACGGCCCCGCGCGCGTCGATGCCTGGGCCGGATAGGCTGCCCGCCCCAGGGCGGCGGGCGGCGTGAGAGCGCAAGACGAGGCCCGCGCGCGGAGCATCGCGGGGGCGCCGAACACGAAGATAGGTGACACGGGGAGGAGCCACCCTGCACACCCCCCACTTCGGATGCAACTCCTGGGAGGTCAAATTCCGACTTTGCCCTGGTCCGAGATCCGGCCTTATCCAGCTTATAACCGCTTGATCTGGCGTAATCCCGCTTGATACGGCTTCATCCCGTTTAACCCCCACTCAATCTGGCTTGATCCCGCTTGATCCGCGGCCTAATCTGGCGCAGCAGCCCCCCATGGTGCTCAATTCTCGCAAAATCCCTCCTACGAAGACCTCCCAGTCGTTGCCCCCTGACCCCCGAATCCCTCCGAGTGTCCGCCGCCGGGGCCCGCCGCCGCGGCCAACCGCTGCGGCGCGGGGCGGGTCGGGGCCTCTTCGGCACGGCGCCGTGCCGCGCCGAAGGTGCGGGGAGGCACCCTGCCACAAGCGGGGCCTCGCGCGGCCGCCGCGGCAGCGGCGCCCGCCGCGCGGGGGGGGGGGAGCGGCAGGCGGTGGGCTTGGGGTGCGGGCGTGGGCGCGGGCGTGGGCGTGGGCTGTGGCTGTGGCTGTGGCTGCGGCTGTGGGCGTGGGCGCGGGCGCGGGCGCGGGCGCGGGCGAGGGCGTGGGGGCGATGCGGGGGGCGGAGGAAGGGGGGGAGGGGGGGGGGCACGGCAGGAGACGCCCGCCTTCGTCGCCCCCTCGCCAGCGCTGCGCGGCCCGGCGCGCAGCACCCTGGCGGGGGCGGAGCTCGAGAGGGCCGTGCCCGCCGTGGCCCTGCGGGCGCTGCCGGAGCCGAAGCCCAACGAGGAGATGCTGCCGGTGGACCTCAACCGCACGTCCCTCTACTGGGGCCTGCTCACCATATGCATCCTGTCCGTGCTGTTCTCCAGCTACTTGTTCAATTGAGCCCGG